ATTTATTTAAATTATTTATAATTAATTATAATACAAGCACTTATTTGAATCTTCTTAGCGTTTTGATGTTAATTTAATGACATTTTTGATTATTCCATAAATTATTTTGATACTTGTCAAAAAAAAAAAAGAAAAAACAATGTCTTTCTTTAATTTTGATTGGTACACAAAAAAGAAAGAAAGAAAGAAAGCAAAAAATATGTTTAATGAAGAAAAAGAAAAAGTTGGAAACATCGAACACAGACACACTTCCTTATTAAAAGTGCTTTACAGGTAATATGAGCAGGTGTAAGTGGTAGGGGAGAATTTCTCGCATATCAGAGAAAAGAAACCGTTCTCTTTGCTTGTTAGTTGTCAGTTACCATTCGTTTTCCTTCCTAAAAGGATCTTCGTCGAATAAATAATATAATCGTGTGTGTGTGTGTCCTTCTTTTTTTTAAAATTATTATTTAATTATATACAATTACAATTATGTACAAAATCATCATTCAGACATTATTTTATTAAAACGTGTTAAAAGAAAGTAAAAAAAAATAAAAAGAAGTTTTCACTTGAAACAAAACAAAAACAACAAAAAAATGGATAAATATATGAAACAAATTAAATTAACAACAAGAAAATCGTATTGTCATTAACAATTAATTTGCGATAAGATATTTACAGGAGAAATTGTTTCATCAATATTTGTATTTTTATATTTCATTGAACTTATAATTGAAATAAACGTAGAAAATTATTCAAATAAATTAATAATTGGTGTACAATTGGTGAATGTTTGTGATGATTTGAAAATTGTTAAATGAAAAGAAGAAAACCAAAAAGATGACAAAATAAAATTAAAAAAAAAAAAAAAACAGAAGAAACAAAACCAAAGAATAATACTGCAAAAAATGAGATAAAAAAATGATTGTTTAATTAATCAACATAAATGAAGAAGTTATTAGTGACAATGATTTTCTCATAAATGTAAGAGAAATCAAACGTATGATGAAATAAACAATTAACGTGATTATTGGACATTTGGATAACAAAATAATAATAATAATAAGAAGAAGAAGAAGAAATAAAATAAAATAAAATAAAATAAAATAATAATTATGCGAATACGTTGGTCAACAAATTATACTTTTTGGATTCTTAAAAATAAACATTGACATTTTGTTTATATTTTGATGATCATCAAATTGATTTCATCTGCATTTTTACAAGAGAGAGAGAAAAAAAAAACAAAAATAATTCATGATTAAAATTTAAAAATTGACAAAAAATTAAATTATACATGATATTGTCTTATTTACGTTATTTATCATTATTATTAATTTATGGTATTATTAACGGAATGAGACGATTTAAGAGATTTGTTTTAGCTGAAAGAAACGAAAAAGAACAAATGTGGACCAGTTCGGATAATATTGTATTTAAAATTACTTCAGAAGATGATGATGATGATGATGATGAAGATGATGATGAAAATGAAGAATGGAAA